TAAAACTAGGACAATTCTGTAATAGAATGTGCATCTTGAAAAGTAGTGTGGGGTGGAGGAAGGATGTTTTTGGCAACAGAGCTTTCCCCAAGAGTGGCCCAGATTAGGATTTGCACAGTCCTGAACTAGATAGGGAAGGTAGGAAGAAATTTGTGGTAACCATATTGGAGAATTTCTCGAGATATATCTACTAGGTTAGAAGGTTATAGTTTTAGTTTGGCCACATTTGTCTGTTACGTGCAAGCAAATAAAGAATTGGATTTTATTGGATCTTCTGTGTCATCTTTGGATTGGATTGGGCCTAACAAATTTCTATTTATTTCCAATTCCTGACAACTCTACCATGTATATTTATTTAGCTGCAACACTGTGCAGACCTACCTGGGTATATGTCATCTTGGTCATAATAGGACTCATATCTGATTAAACTGGGGAGGGTTGCAGTTTGAGCATCGTGGATGTATAAAAATAACCATAGCTTCCCTTTTTTGTTTAGCTGTCAACTGATAGAAATAAATAGGCAAATAAACAATATGTGGACACTTGGCAATATACTGTGTATGAATAGAACTCCCTTTCCTCCAATAACTATTCTCTGAAATACAGTATTCCTTAGAAGGTCTATACCATTTTAGTTGCATGTCTTTCATTTGGATTCCCACACAAAATATGTTCAATTCAGTGGTCTGACCTCTTTCAACTCTTTAGTTCTGTTTCTCTATGCCAGAAGATGACTAATGTACCCTTTATATTATTAATTAATACTAATAAACTCTGCATGAATGTATTTAATAAGTTCCTCAAACAGAAAAAAACTTTATAGGTATTCGATATCTGACTCTGAAGAATAGCCAATCCGTTCATATATTTGTATTTCAGAATTCCATTTTTAGTAAAGGGTCACAAGAGTGGAGGAGAGATGGGGAGATGTTCTAAATAAGCATTTCTAGGTGACAACATGACTCCAACATGTAAATGAAGTAGAAATAGCATCTCTATATTGCTTGTATATATTCATGTAATAAACTTCTTTGCCTGGCCTGAGGAATGTGGCCAGCCAGAGTGCCAGCTTGGTGCCAAATATTTTTCCTAGTAATGAGTCTAAGATAATAACTATCTCAATGAAATACTCTCCCCTTCCAAAAGAAAAAGAGGGGGAAAAAAACCTTGTAATGTCCATAACCATGACATTTGTTTAGAAAAATCTCTTCAGTCTATTTACAAAAGGGCATTAAAGTACTCTGTGTAAACGCATATGACCATGAGGTATATTTTTTTAAGCATTTGTTATTTCACAAATGCTATATTGTTCTCTATAAGAACAATAAAGTTGCATATTTAATTATACAAAGTAACTAAATTTTGAATTAAACTGAACCTTATTATCCTGACCTTTACCTGCATTCTGGAAATCCTTTATCTGCTAAGAAATTCTTTGCATGGAATAGCCCAGGATATAATGTGGAAGGCTTTGTGAAACTCCAAACACAATCAAACACATTTATTTATTTGTTTGTTTAATTGTTTAATTAATTTTTAGAGCACCGATCTCCCTTGTTAAGTGACTCTGGCTGGCTCACAAGTTATAAAACAAGTAAAAAACATAAAGCAAATAGAAAAATAATTAAAATATTAAAACTACAGATTAAGATTTAATTGAACTTTTTTGAAGCAAGAAAAAAATCTCTCTCTTTTCTTTGATATTACCATACAACATTTCCATTATACTATATATATCTGTCCTCGCCTCTCCCTTTTAGATTTTGATAATACTAACAAAAATTGAGATAAATAACAGATAGCTAATGACTGAAGTACATCCTTAAGATTTTGATCTTAAGGATTTTGCATGGGATCAATATAAAACTTATAATTACCCAGCTGCAAAATGGGAACTATAACTACATGGTCTAAGCCCCATGCCTTTTTTACATAGATGTATGTGTTCACTCATGGATATTCCTCATTCCCTATTCAGATCTATAATCATTCTACATTCATTGGAACAGACATTATACGTTTAACTCAAACTCTCTTGGTCTTAAAAATATTATTTAATAATATGATTATTAAAAATTAGGCACTACAGCTATATTGCAGTAGTGTTCCCATCTGAAGCTGGATATCAGTATGAGTCTTGATAATGTATGAACATTTTTTTTGTTTTGAACTGGAATTGTTCTTTTTGTTTGATGTTGAGCTTATTCTATCTTTTGTTTGATGTTTGTTATTAATCACGCAGAATTGCAATATTTGATCCACATATATCCTTTAAACAAACAAACAAATTGCACAGGTCATAATGAATAGTGCACAGTGCATTTACCTATGTTTAAGAAAATGCTCAGGATGAAGATAAGGAAGTGGTCTTGCAATCACATTAGCTAGCGATATTAGTTTAATGTGTTGGGTAGATGTGGTTTCATATACTATATTAAAGCATTTTTCTTTATCACAGTTTATTGAAAATGTTAATATCATCTGGATTCACACAATACACTGAGCCTTAAGCTATGGCCTTTAAGCTATATTTAACATTAATTATAATTAACATTCCTAAAACTTACAAAATTACTTTTAGATCTTGCTTGGTCAATCTTTAAAAGGTAGGAAAAAGAAAGGTGGGGTAACTACAAAAGGTCATTTTTACATTGATCCCAGGTGAAAATTCTTAGATAGGTTTTGAAGCAAAATATATTTCACTCCACAACCATCTTTTGCTTTACTCTGTTTTTATTGCTATTGTCATAATTTAAAGGGATGTGGGAGAGTAAATTATAATGGAAATACTGAATGGTAATGTCAAAGGAAAGAGAAAAAGCAAAAAAAGCAAGCCTCTTTAAAAAGAAAGTATGCTTTATTGATGCTTCTAGATGCTCTTGCTTTAAAACAATTCTACATTCCAACCCACTGTAACTGCCTGTTTTTGGGAAAGCAATTTTAACATAATTCTTCAGAAGCTCCTTCCCTGAAGAACCACATCTTATATTCATAGCTGTTTCAGTCATTTATTTACTTGCCCTTTACTTCTGAGCCTATTCTATGTAACTGCTAACATTGGAATAAGCAGATCTGTCAAATCTGATTTTATTCAGTTTCTGTTGAGGTATTCCCCATTAGGAGAATGAGTGCACTCAGGGAAACGTAGTGAGAGTGGTGAGGAATAACACGCAACCAGCATACAGATACACTGAATAGTAAAATGTAGGTTTTACTTCCTGTAAATGGGTAAACAAAGTCCAACAAACAGTCCAAATCATGCATGGTTAAAGCAGATAATATTCAATACAATCAGTCCAGGGATAATCCAGAAACGAAGTCCAGTATCATAAACAAAGTTCAGTAAACGGAGTTTGCTAACAGTTTGCAAGACTCACAGCAATCCAAGCAGAACGATGATTAGGCAAAAGGTAATAGGGAAAATGCAAGAAGAGCAAACCAGGTTTCTGGCTTTATCTTATGGCCATCGGAGAAACCTCAGCCAATCACAATTACAGCATTCTCTTAAAGATACAACAGTATTAAATAACTATCCTGGTTTATATATTGCCAACCCAACTGTTAGGTGACTATCATTCCTAATAGTTTCCAACCTAAAATTCCTTTTCCTCTTTCCATATCAGTTTACAATTTTGGGGGGGGGAAATCCTTAAGATGGTATGTATTCATTCCTGATTACTTTTACCTGAAAAAATATATCTATAATCTAATACGCATATTTGCAAGCTATTTCCATCATATACTGTATGAGCTCATTTTTAATTCCCATAAAATACATGTTTGTTTGCATTTCTGGAAACAAGAACTGAATAAATATCAGTAGATTATTGCACTGCACTTTTGATGTTGGTTTAGGAACTTTAAAAAGCAAACCTATTACATATGTCCCCAGTCCTACAGCCCAGAAGAGAAGGCCAAGAGATTGTAAGATGCTCCTCTTTCTTTCGTTATCATTACTGGCTTGACTGTCACTGGATAGTGGCTGTTGTAAGTATCTGGAGGAGCTCCAGAATGCTCTAGAATTAGATGTAAGTCTCTGTCTAAAATGCCAATTTGGATAATAAGCAATGAATGAACAGCAGCTCTGGTTCAGTTGTAAGCATATTTGTTAACAGTCAACTCCTATGTCATCGGTGGGGCTTACTCCGAAAGCATTGTGCATAGGATTGTAGACAAAGTTTAGATTTATATAAAGGAATGATGCCTGAATGTAGTCTTGTCATCACATATTACCCTGTTACTATGCCTTTTCAAACTTCATTTAGAAAAGAATTCAATTAACTCACCAACATTTAGAATTGGTGCAGAGAAATTGTTCGATACTTTTTTTTAACTAATTCCTAGTTTCATAAAGAAAAAAGTGTGCGTGTGTGTTTCAAAAGAAAAGAATTTTGAATTATAGCTAAAGAAGTGATGATGCCTCTTTAGTATCAGTGCCTGTGATTCTAGTGACAATCAGATACATACAAATAACATCTCTTTCATTGTACAATCTTTTATATGGCACATCTCAGCCTTGGGGTTTGTTTGTTTGCTTTAATTCCAAGGGAAGACACCATGAGGAAATGTTTTTATTGGGTTTTACAATACGAAGCGACTCTAGGTACCCTGCCCCTCCTTCTGATATTTTATAGGCCAATTCTGTGCAAGTTTAATCACAAAAAGTAAATCTTGTTCTATCTAGTGGGAGTTATCTCCAAATACTTTAGCGGAGGACTGAACTCTTAATACTTGACATTTCAAAAACGAACATTTTAACATTGCTTTAAATACATTCCCTCAAAAGGAGATTGTGACTTTGCAGGGACCAAAAAAATTGAACTATTTTTGGAATATAATTATAGCTGAAGTGGGCTGTGGTAGAAGTGATCTTACATTTTTACTGAGGTAGCAGTAACCTAAACTGGAAAACTGCAAACTTTATTGGCTACATAAACAAGTAAAACAATTTTAGCTCCAACAAAGTTCTGTTTATTAGTTGATAACTTCAATTGGAAGAGAGAAAAGCTTCCAATTTACAAAAACCCATTTTCAGGATGTTGGTGTTATGTTCATTGAACTTAAGACAGGACATCAGGGTGTGCAGAGTATATCAGGCAGATGCAGCAGTTCACCCTTTCTATTGGAGACCGAGGGTGGAGGAGAGCCTTTTAGAGGACTCAGTCTAAACCATGAATTTGTTAAGGAATCTGTTACAAATAACAGAGATGATGATAACAATAACCAGGCTATGAATGCATGTTTCTTTTCTCCAGTGGAGCAAAAAGGAGCTCAAAGGAAAAATTTTCATAATAAAAGGAATGCATTAAAAGGAATACATATCGACCCTCTCCTGATCAATATTTCTGAGATAGAAATATTCTGAGAAACAATATTTCTGTGTTGTTTCTGGGAAAAACTTTTATTTAGGATCATGAATATTATAATTTACAAGTTAAAATCTTGTTTTTAACTGTATTTGCCTACTGTAGATTCTGTTAGCTGAACCAAATCACAAATAAGATCCCAATGTCCAATAGCATGTACAGTAGCCAAGAAGCAATGAATTGCTCAGCAGAAAGTGTAGAGAAATAAAATTAATTCCTTCAAAAAACCATGTACGTATCAAATAATAAACCACGACTACAAACTGCTCTAAAGGGCTGAGACCATGCATTGAAAAGCATTCAGATACATACTCTCTTTCCATCAGGTATCTGCCAGTCACTAGAACTTATCTGCAAATTAAAGATACACACTTTATGCCAAAAGAATTTCAGCAACAGACACCAGTATATTTTTTTGACATAAAGGAAAGCAGTTTCAATAAAGTATATGTATACTATGTTAAATGCTTTCAATTGCTGTCAAACAATAACAGCTTATTGAATAATAGCTTTCTAGAGCAGGGGTGTCAAACTCAAGGTGCACGGGGTGAATCTGCCCCATGGGGCCGGCCTGGAAATATCAAAAGACCATCCCGCGATGCCTCTGATGACTAAAACTGGCTGTGTGGGGGGCCACATCTAATTTTCACTCTCCATGACCTCCTGGAGCACTCTACCAGCTGAAAACAGGCCCCAAAACAGGACCAAAATGGCTCAAAAAAGGGCCTAAAAAGGGCCTTAAAATGGCCAGCAGAGTGCAGCAGGAGGCCATGAAGGGTGAAAATGAGCCACGGGGGGGGGGGGGGGGGCTGTACACAGACCCCCTGCACCCTATTTTGGCCAGTAGGGTATGCAGGAGGCATCCGTCTTGCTGTGTCCCCCCACCAGCCCACAAACTATAATGCTGATCTGGCCCTCGAAGAAATCCAGTTTGACACCCCTATTCTAGAGCAATGAACTTAATGAAGAAGGTTACTTGCCATTTTTAAATGAAGTCCACCAAAGTTAGAGAGGTAGAGACTAACATGTGAGCTACATTCAAATCTCTCTTTAGATTTCACTCATGTGGTTTATTTACACTATGGGTGTCTAGGTAATTTACATTCATTCTTATTGTTTTGTTTTTAGTGCTTTAAGGTTTCTAATACAAATTATATCAAAATGTATATTTTAAAACACCACACAAAATGATGCTTTGTGTACTGTGACTTAATCAGGGCACAGTTATAGAAAAATATTTCTTCATGGGTGATTGGTCTCAAAATATTTCAGAAAGCAGGAAATGAGAGATGCATAGAGCTTATTTATTGCTTTGGGTAAAGTTCACTAGGAATATTTTGAGTCTGTCAGATATTCTTACTGATAATAGCTATTTTTTAAAGTACCAGAAACTACTGTCTTAATGATAATAAACTATAAGATTACTAGGAAATTCCTACATTTCTAAAATGTGTAATTTGTAAATGGTATACTAAGAGAAGGTATAACAACCAACCTTATAATTGACAATGAAGTTACCGAAAAATACTTCTGCCACTTACAGCATGATCAATCACCTAGAGTAAATGAACCAACAATCAAAAAATACACAGCAAATTACCATGCAATAGAATGGCTATGAAGGCCTTTGAAGATATATTCAGATGCTGTGATGTATCTGCACCTACAAAGATCAGAGTAGTGCAGTTAATGGTATCCCTATGAAAGTGAAAGTTGGACTTTGAAGGAGCAGATTAGGAAGAGTACAGTATTGATACTTTTGAAGTATAGTGGTGGAGAACACTCATGAGAATACCATAAGCAGCCAAGAAAATAAACAAGTTGATCATCGAACAAATGAAACCACAGTTCTCATTTGAGATACAAATGATCAGGCTGAAACATTATGTGAAAGCTCCAAAGGTAGGAAAAGTTACAGAGAATGACTAGCAGCAAAGTGAATGGACTCGTTTATAGTACCAATAGATGCACCCTTGGAAGACATGAAAGGCCAGATTAGGGACAAATCATCATGGAGAATATCAATTATGATTTCTAAGAGTTGTCAACAAGTTAATTCAATGTTATCTATCTATCTATCTATCTATCTATCTATCTATCTATCTATCTATATCTGTCTGCCTGTCTATCTATCTACCTATTATTTATCCACCTCAATCATGTGATGATTGTATTTGTATGTGGATAGAGTTTAAAATATAATTTATCTCCAGAGGTTTTTTTGTACAAAGCAGAATAAAACAATCAATTTGTAAAGCAATAGTTTGACCATTATTTTTAGGATAGCACTGTTCCACACCTACCTGGTTCCTGGATCTTGATATTATCTCTGCTCCACAATTAATCACAGCACAATTAATGCATCATTGTTGTAATTTCAAGGACCAAACAAGATCCTTGAGATGACACTAGAATTTAAAGCAAGGAGTCAGACACTGGTTGAAACATATCTTACTTTAACCATGGTTTGTGAATAAATCCTAGAGAACTTACTCATGGATAACATTAACTAATAAATTATGGCTTACAGGCTACAATGGCCAAAGCGTAATGTGCAAACTCAGACAATATATTTTGGTTTCACATTTTATATTTAAAAAATCAAATATATCCATCAGACCTGTACATCACATGACCTTTAATTTCACACCTCTGTGCAATAGATTTAGCAGTTTATTCTTGGCTTGTATAAAATAATCATTTATTGCTTAATACTTATCCATTTAATGATCCAAGGAGCACAATTTCATAAAACCCAGTTTATTACTCAAGAAGGATTATATAGAGTTAAATTATATAGCTAATTTATTTTTAAATAATAAAATATAGCATGAATCAGCTAATCCAAAAATCAGACTTCAAAAAATAAAGGAAATAACTTCAAAACCTATTACCACTTATTAAATCTACATCATGGTTGGCTTACTACTTAAAAAGAAAACAGTTTCTTTTTTCATTGCAGAAATCTGATTTCCCTAGTAACACAGCATGCATGTGCCAGATTAGAAAATAAGCCCTTTTAGGAGAGAGCCAAAACCAAAATCTTCTCTTTGGTTTAGGTCACAAGACTCTAAAACTCCCTCAATTAAGCAGATTGGAAATTAATAATATTGTATAATTGATGAAACCAGTTTAGCTTTAAAAAAAAATAATTATCATCTCAATGGTGCATCAAAATAGCAATTATGGCCCACTGCACAGCAAAGGAACAGGAAAGAGACCAATCTCTGAGACTCAAGTCAGAATTTGTGCTTAAGCTTTAATCCTTTTACAGTGATCCAGGGTATTATGCACATTCTTTACTCACTCTCTCTGATAGTTAATGTTTTTGTATTTGAAATGTTCACCCAGCTCTGAATTTTTCTCTTCACACAAAAGCTGCTTATCAGCATCAAAAGGAATTAACTGAATAAATATGATCATAAGAAGAAAAATAAGTGTGTGTGTGTTTCTTTTTCAAAATAAGTTTCCTTGTTTAACATAGTTATTTTCAAAGCTTGTTTTAACTCAGGAATTATTGTTGGTGAAAACAGGAGGAGGAAGAATTATTAAATATGTTTGCCACTTTGAATATTTTATAAAAGTAATAAAGGGAATTTTTTTTTAAAAAAAATAGTTGATAGACTGTGACATTGGAAACCTATCAAAGAGAAATTAAAATTAAATCAAGAGAGCAATTAAATAGCAGAAGGATACAGTTGTCAGTGGTTTTCCTATTTACAGTTATCTGAAAAAATTTAAAAAAAAAGACTAATGGGTTAGAACAAAAAAAAGACAGAATTTGAAAAACAATTGATATATATAAAAAAACATTTATTGAAATTTGAAACAGAGGAAGAACATGTTAAAAATGTATGAAAAGTAGGGTGTGAATTTTTGATATAATATTGCGATTAATCAATGGGAAAATATGTGGTTACAATGTGTTATAATTTTAAAGACAATGTTTATAAAATAACATATTGTTCTTACATGATGCCAAAAAAAATTCTAGAATATATAAAGGCACTTCAAATGTATATTGGAAATATAAAGAACATAAAGAGACATTTTAGCATGCTTGGTGGTAATGCAAAAAAATCTTTTAAAAATAGAGATATTTTTAAATTTTCATTAAAAAAATCACTTGCTTTTACTCTTGACTTTTTTAAAAAAATTCACAATTCAGTTATACAAAATGTCTTCTTACAAAACCATCCTTACTTCCGTACTTTTATTAAAGAGAGAGAACTCTTTTCTGATATCCGTTCTATTTTTTCTGAAATTGCTCTAAATCTTAAACAGAATTCTTTTACTTTCAGTTCCAATAATGCAAAATTGTCTAAATCATTTTCCATCTCTCTTTAATTTCTGTCTTGTCTGTAATTTGTTTTAAGTCTGTAGCAATTGGCATACAGTGTACTTCAATTTTCTTAACTTTTGGGCATTCAAAATGTAGATTGCAGCAAAGATTTGAAGTGTACTTTATCCCTTTTCTGCCATGACATTAGTCATGGACACATTTGCCACTATAGCAGCCCGCCAGAAGTAGCCAGGTATGTATAGCTGGTAATAAGTGGTTTTTAACTATCTTTTTTCAGACTGACATGTATTGTACAAATAGAGCATGCCCGTACTTCTTTTCCAATCTTTCTTGCTGATTTGACATGGTTAGAAAATGGCAAGCAGGTCATATTGGACTCTGGAGTGTTCAAGAACAATATACTTTTCTGATGAATGATGTAATGGCCTGGATTTTGAGTGACCTGTTAGAGAGAAAGAACATTTGAAATGGCATTAAATAAATGCTAAGGGCATTTCTTAGGTTGAAAGCAAATGGAAAACTACACCATTCAAAGGTTGTTGCAAAAATAAGTGGTTGCATGGTTGCTTTATTTTTATATAGCTACAGAAATCAAGCAATCACTAGTTGGAACTTTATATCTTTGCAATCCTAATATGGTATGTATAATTTGGAAGCCATTCAGGAAGATGCCTCCCTAATTCACTGAGCTATGAGGAGGATCATAGCTTGCAAGATTGAAGTCAGTCTCACCAAGCAGACCAGACCAGGAAATCAACTTCTCGGGAAAGTTAAAACTAATTTATTGAGATTGGATATAAGAATAGACTCTATCAAGTCTCACAGTTTAAAGGTGCTATATATGCTTTTCCTTCTTAATTCTGTGAATTATGGAAGCATCTACCTGAGCTGCTGCAAAATGCTAACTTATAGTTCTGGTTTTAAAAAGTGCTTCAGCCCCCTCTGCCTAGGTAACGATCCCTGCATTATCTCCACCAAAGAAATCTTTGTATAAAGGCACAAGGAAGCCCCCTGGTCTCCTGGGAGATGGTCTTCAGGGACAGTTACACTATGATCAAAGCTAATAGCCATCAATCCCTATTACTTTCAAAAATTGGCCCAATTTTTTTTAAGCCAACCAAGCAGGTATCTGGCACCATATCTTTTGGTAGCAAATTCCAAAATTTAATTATGCATTGTATAAAAAAAATCTTTTGTCTGTGCTGATTCTTCCAGTTTTCTTTCTTGTCTTGTCTCCTACAATTCAACCTCTGCTTCTAATATTTTTAGAAAGGAAAAACAGTTTTGTCTTGCTTACTTTATCCACATTATGCATAATTCCATACATATGAATCATGTCCCCTTCATTTATCTTCTTTCTAGACTAAAAAGCCCCAAATGTCACAATCTTTCCTAATAAGGAAGCTCATCTGCCCACTTGTTTAACTTGTAGGATATATGTTTTGACATATATCATTCATTATATTAATGTATTGTTTGTACTGTTTTATTCCAATTACGATTATGACCAGACTTTCATGAATTTGTCTTGGCCATCACTATGCCAGCTTGTTTTCTAAATTATCTATGAGCAGTCCCCTTTATGAATTCTAGCACTATAATAGCTTAATTCTCCTTTTCAAAATCTTTTCAAAATTATGCATCAATCTTTCAAGTTTGCTATATAGAACACAACTCATGAGACACATTTAGCTAAAGTAGCATTTTTATTGATGTTGTGCATAAAGACAACCAACATTTCTACTCATTTTTTATTTTTATTTACTTGTTTATTTAACACATTTATATGACTACATATCTAATTAACTGAACTCAGGGTCATCAACAGAAAATTAAAAGACACAAGGACTTCCGGTTTGAAGGGCTTCGGCGACAGACAGAAATCCGAGATCGTGCGCGGTTTCTGTCTGGGCTCGCCGCTGGAGTGCCCCGAGACAGCTGGTTTTGGGGCTAAGCCACCCCATAGAGGTGGTGAAGAGGGGGCAGACCACCAGCAGGGTCGAGGAGAGCCGCATCTCTCCTCCTCAGCTGGCCATGACTTCCTTTCCCGAAGGCGGTTGCAGCGGTGGTCAGAAATGGCCACCACAAAGGAGAACTTGACCGGAAAAGAATGTGCAGGAGTAAGATAAGA